GCGTGGCATGGAGGCAATCAGCCTGTGGCACTGCTGAGGTGTTATAGAGGCCCAGGATGCTTCGATAGCAGCCTTAAGCTCATCCAGAGTGTTGGGTCTTGCATCTGTCAACTTTCTCTTCACAATATCCCACAGGTTCTCTATGGGGTTCAGGTCAGGAGAGTTGGCAGGCCAATTGAGCACAGTAATACCATGGTCAGTAAACCATTTACCAGTGGTTTTGGCACTGTGAGCAGGTGCCAGGTCGTGCTGAAAAATGAAATCTTCATCTCCATAAACCTTTTCAGCAGATAGAAGCATGAAATGCTCCAAAATCTCCTTATATCTAGCTGCAGTGACACTGCCCTTGATAAAACACAGTGGACCAACACCAGCAGCTGAAATGGCACCCCAGACCATCACTGACTGTGGGTGCTTCACACTGGACTTCTGGCATTTTGGCATTTCCTTCTCCCCAGTCTTCCTCCAGACTCTGGCACCTTGATTTCCGAATGACATGCAAAATTTGCTTTCATCCGAAAAAAGTACATTGGACCACTGAGCAACAGTCCAGTGCTGCTTCTCTGTAGCCCAGGTCAGGCGCTTCTGCCGCTGTTTCTGGTTCAAAAGTGGCTTGACCTGGGGAATGCGGCACCTGTAGCCCATTTCCTGCACACGCCTGTGCACGGTGGCTCTGGATGTTTCTACTCCAGACTCAGTCCACTGCTTCCGCAGGTCCCCCAAGGTCTGGAATCGGCCCTTCTCCACAATCCTCTTCAGGGTCCGGTCACCTCTTCTCGTGCAGCGTTTTCTGCCACACTTTTCCCTTCCCACAGACTTCCCACTGAGGTGCCTTGATACAGCACTCTGGGAACAGTCTATTCGTTCAGCAATTTCTTTCTGTGTCTTACCCTCTTGCTTGAGGGTGTCAATGATGGTCTTCTGGACAGCAGTCAGGTCGGTAGTCTTACTCACGATTGCGGTTTTGAGTAATGAACAAGGCTGGGAGTTTTTAAAAGCCTCAGGAATCTTTTGCAGGTGTTTAGAGTTATGTCGTTGATTCAGATGGTTAGGTTAATAGCTTGTTTATAGAATCTTTTCATGATATGCTAATTTTTCGGGACAGGCATTTTGGGTTTTCATGAGCTGTATGCCATAATCATCAGTATTAAAACAATTAAAGACCTGAAATATTTCAGTTGGTGTGCAATGAATCTGAAATATATGAAATTTTCATTTTTATCATTACATTATGGAAAATAATGACTTTTATCACAATATGCTATTTTTTTGAGAAGGACCTGTATATATATTTGAAACTGGTTTGTGAGTTTGTGTATATATATATATATATATTTGATAAAAACATATGGTGGGGATCATCTTGGCTTTTTATATGGCAACACAATTTTGGAAGAAAGAAAAAAAACTTTATTACCCCTAGATGTAGCCATACATCAAGACTGAAGTAGGTACCTCACTTACTTTTCAAGTGTCATTCTCCCAACATGGAGGGAGGGTATTTCCAATTCCCGCTCTTTGCTCTGTGATGGTGGACAATAACTAGAGAACAAAGGAGGTTTAGGTTTCCTTTGCTCTTTCTTTCTTTGACGTTGCTTTCATCTCCAGAAGTTGCCACAGCAAATAACTCATAAAAGAATTGCCTATTGTTTTATGGCAGACAACAATCCTGGCCACCCCGCTGTAGCCTCAGGATTATGAAACCACAGCACTGACAACTGAGCTAGCACAAACCCCTTTAGAGAAACAAGGAATATATTATCAGAAGCCACAACCTCAGCACTCTTTCAAATATGTTGACAATTGATCAAAACTCAACCAGTGAGTTCTCCTGTCACGGTTGGTTATACCTGTTGGGTGAGGTCCAAGGTTCGCTTCAACCTACATGACCTGGACCAGGGTCAATGTGCGATCCTCGCAGGCCCTCTAGATGAATAGGAATGTGAACTATGCTCTACCTCGGTTGAAAGAGGTCAGCAAGCCACCAACTTGTTGATAGATTAGCCAGAGGAACACCCAGACAACCCTCCCTTGTGTCTCAATCCTTCCTGCCAAAACAGGTAATACAGAGAAACTGCCGACTGAGCTCCTCACACTCTCCCTCAGGGGCTTGTAGCAGCAGACAGGTGGGGGGTGGGTGGGGGTAACATTTGGACCATTAATTAGGTCTACCTCAGCATAGGCCCTTTATGGTACCAAAGATAGAACCTAGAATCTGATCTGAGATCTAATGCCTATTTCCAGCAGTCTCTGTGCAAGACACAAAGCAGGTTTCAAGGAGTTCATTTGTAAACAGATCTCTAAGTCTTAACCATCACACCAAAATGGAAGTTGGTGTCTCACTTATGTTTCAAGTTATCATGGTCACAACATGTATGGGTGAAGGGAGGGTATTTCCATTTCTCCCTTTTTGCTCCATGGGAAGTGGGGATTGGGGGGTTGGGGGTGGAGTGAAAGTTTATGGTTGGATTCAGATCCTGCTGCTCAGAGGTTGAGTAATGATATGTTTATGTTTGTGTCACCAGTTAAAATGAAATATGATCTAACAACTGAATGGAGATGGATAGCTAAAAGAGTCATCATTTACCTTTGTACAATAAAATGTTTAATTTTTTGTAAAGATTCTTGTTAGGATTGTATCCTGATGCACGCTCAATAATCCAGATTAAAAAAAAATCTAAAAAAGTTAAATCTGGTCCTCTGGACATTCAAAAAACTAAACAAAGCAAAACAACAACAAAAATGGAGATACGTTTTGTCTTTCATCCAAAAGACTTCCTCAGTCTGAGGTGCTGTATTCAGCTCAGTCTTATAAACTCAGAACTTCAGCTCAGTACACCACATACAGAACACCATGTACTTTGTGGATAAGGTGAGGGATGTCATCATGGAGACTGATGAAACAATGGTCTAATTTTGATGTCACATCACTCTTTACGTGCATTCCTGTTGATGATGCAGTAGAGGTGGTCAGTTTAAAATTAAAATCAGACACCACTCTGAGCAGCAGGACCACGCTTTCCACAGAACAACTGTGTCAACTCTTGAAACTGTGCCTGCAGTCAACCTACTTCACATATGGGGAGCAATATTATAGACAGAAACATGGGTGTGCTATGAGGTCTCCAGTTTCGCCTATTGTTGCCAACCTGTACATGGAGGAGGTAGAAAAGAGAGCCTTGACGTCCTTTTCAGGGGCACCACCAAGTCATTGGTTTAGGTATGTTGACAACACCTGGGTTAAAATTAAATCTCAGGAAATCCAACATTTTACTGACCACATCAACTCTGTGGATAAATACAGCAAGTTCACACGAGAAGATGTAAAAAATGGCAGGTTGGCTTTCTTGGACTGTGAGGTCTCAGTCTCTGATAGAGGACATTTGCCAACTGAGGTGTACCGCAAACCCACCCACACAGACCAGTATTTGCAGTTTGACTCCCATCACCCTTTGGAGCACAAGTTAGGAGTCATCAGGACTCTGTATCACAGAGCAGACAGTGTCCCCAATAACTCAGGAGCCAGGCAGTAGGAGAAATCCCACACAAGACAGGCTCTAGAGCAATGTGGATATCCTAACTGGGCCTTCCTGAAAGCAGAGAAGAAACCCAAACAGGACTCCAGTCAGCCATCAGGTGAAAAGGAGGAACCCAGACCAGTGGTCATTCCATATGTTGCTGGAGTTTGCAGAGAAACTGAGACGTTTATTTTCTAAACACAACGTCCCAGTGGCTTTTAAACCCCAAAATACATTACGGCAAAGACTGGTTCATCCCAAAGATCCAGTCCCCCGGCACAAACAGAGTAATGTTGTGTATGCTGTTCAGTGTCAGGAGGGCTGTGATCAGTCTTACATAGGGGAAACTAAACAGCCACTGGCCAAAAGGATGGCCCAGCACAGAAGATCAACATCATCAGGCCAGGACTCTGCAGTCTACACTCATCTCCAGGCCAGCGGTCACTCTTTCAGGGATGAAGATGTGCACATCCTGGACAGAGAGGAACGATGGTTTGAGAGAGGACTAAAGGAGGCCATCTTTGTGAAAAGAAATCGTCCATCATTAAACAGGGGTGGAGGCCTCCGTGTTCAACTGTCCCCCTCTTACAATGCTGTGATTGCTAGTATCACTCAGCCCTCTGTGAATAGTAAACAGCCATTAGTGTGCTAATGATCCATTGTTAGGCTGATGGTCCTTCTTGATCATGTGAGCAGCTGGTTTTGGTTGTCAGCAACAAACTGGTTGATCCACTCTGAGAAGGTGCTATTTAAGAGACTGAGCTGAATACAGCTCCTCAGATTGAGGAAGTCTTTCAGATGAAACATTTCTACATTTTTTTGTTGTTGTTGTTGTTGTTGTTGTTGTTTTGTTTTGTTTTTTTAATGTCCAGAGGACCAGATTTAACTTTTTTAGATTGTTAGGATTATGTCCCTGATTTAAATTATATAGGGATTACATGATCTACCTGATCTCTGCGTGTCTATCAGCTGAAGCACCGGCACACAAACATGCTCACTAATTCCAGTGATTATTCTTTCAGGGCGCTAGTGACCCTCATGACCCGAAAAAGAAGATGCGGGTAAAGATAATGGATGGATGGATGGTTTCTGCTACATAAACCTTTGAGGAATCAGAAACATGCGGCAGTGGAAGAACTCCCCGATGTGTTTAAAAGGAGGTGAGCAGTCCATAACATGTCACAGCCCAACAGGACAGTGAACCTGCTGCCAGACAACATGAGAGCTCTCATCCTGCTTGTGTGTTTAGTAGTGGGCTGCTTGTCTCAGAAACCTCAGCCATGCTGTAAGTACACACAGATGAAAGAAATTTAAGAAATTTATCCTGTAGGTTTTCTTCTGAAGCATCACAGAAATGCTCCAAAGCTTTGTTTATATAAACTCTTTCATCCCGACAGCCTCTCCAACTCTGATGACTGGTTCTTTCATTCAGGTAAGGCTCAGCTCATTTCAGAGCTTTTAAATGTTGTGTTATGAAGTAAAATAAACCTAATGAAAACCCATATGTTTATATGTTTGAAGACCTCCAATAAAGGCCTGGCAACACACACCAACTACACCTATGATGCAGTGGGAGAGCGCATCCGCCTACAAGAGGTTGGAGAGTTCAACAATGAAACTTTTCAATTTGATGCCATCCTGCTCTACAAACAGGTAATGGCAGCAAATAAGTGACATTTGTGTTCAAGTAACTGGTGCTACTGCTGATCCTAACTCTGTCATGCATCACAGGGCATCATGTACAAGCTGAACTACAAAAACAGCACATGCAGCAAGGAGAGTCTGGGAATACACTTCCACCCTCTGATGATCCCAAAGAACTCAACT